AGTACAACTCACCATCTTTGTCCAGATCACCCCTTCTTGATGGAGCCTCAGACCAGCAACCTGGAGCTGAAGGTGCAGTTGTGGCTAAGGCCCCCAAGACCCCTTTGGCAATTAGAACCCCAAGGATGTCTTTGACCCCAAGGTTCATCACTCCTTTGGGTAGCCCTGTGAGGAAGGCTCTCAAGATGACCAGGCTTGACCCTCAGGATGCTTGGCTTCCCATCACTGAGTCTAGAAATGGCAACAAGTACTATGCTGCTTTTCACACACTGTGTTCTGGGATTGGTATCCAGGCCTTGGTGCTTCCTGTGGCTTTCACAGTTCTTGGATGGTAAGCCCCCCCAAAACCTGGAATTCATTTTCGAATTTATAATGTTGTCAGACTATCAATCTCACTAAGTAATAATTGAGACAAAGAGTTTGACAACATAACACTTCAGACTGTTTGGCGAGATAGGTGTTTTTAAGTCATTTCAGCACCTACAAATTTGCCTATTATGTGGTTGCTAATAGTTTTATGGTTCTTTTTTCTCTTTTGTGACTGATTGCAGGGCATGGGGTGTAATTCTATTGACTCTAGGATTCATATGGCAGCTTTACACTCTATGGCTACTGGTTCATCTCCATGAGAATGTAGAAACTGGGATGCGTTACAGCAGATACATGCAACTCTTTAGTCTCACCTATGGTAATAAGATTATGACTGTGATTATTTTTATTAAGTTTTTCTATTTCAAATTTCTGGACAGGAACTAATGGTACAAAATGGCTATGTTATTGTAGGTGACAAAATTGCAAATTGGCTAGGCCTGTTCCCAATCATGTATCTGTCTGGTGGAACCTGTGTGGCTCTGATAGTCATTGGTGGATCAACTTCCAAGCTATTCTACGAAATTGTGTGTCCTACATGCACTGCCAAGCCATTAACAACAGTTGAGTGGTTCTTGGTTTATACAACTGCAGCTGTGGTGCTGTCTATGCTGCCTAACTTGAACTCCATAGCTGGTGTCTCCTTGATTGGTGCCATCACTGCAGTTGGGTACTGTACCTTGATTTGGGTGATCTCTGTAGCAGAAGGGAGGCTTCCTGGTGTTTCTTATGATCCTATTAGAGCTGACACTCAGATTGCAAGGGTGTTTGGTGTGCTAAATGCAATTGGGATAATTGCTTTTTCCTTCAGAGGCCACAATCTTATCCTTGAGATTCAGGTAATTGATAATTTCCATCTGGGTAATTATTTAATTATTTTTTACCATAGCATAAATTGGTTTTTGTTTTTGTTTTTCCAACTCCCAATGCTTGGCCTATGAGAACCTGCAAACTAGGACAAAGAATATCAATTTTTATTGTTTTTGAAGTCAGTGATTGACACCTAACAAATTAAATGTGCACTACAAGTCTATGCATGCTTTTCTTTAGGAAAAGCATATTTCCTAACAATAAGTCTAAGTCCTCCTCCTCCTTGCTTAGGAAGCCAGGCCAGAATGTGAGACTTCATATTGCTTTCACAAATACAAAGTGACAATTTTGACCACTTGAACATCTTCCTATGAACAAGAAGCTAACTTTTTTGTTGGGTCAATAAAATAACAGGTTGCTTAGGCACTGTCCTTGATGCGGTACAACTATTCCAATAGTTTTAGTTTTCCTAGCTGAATATTTAATTACACCCACCATGACCAATTATGACTTTTCTATTAGCTTTATCAGTCCATCAAAATAAAAAATAAAAAATAAATCAAAATAGTGGGGGGGGGTGGGGGCTCAAGCATCACTTATCATGATCATCACCATCACCTAGGTTGGAACTTTGTGAATATTATTCAATCATAGACTTAACCTTTTTCATTTTTTTGGTACAATCATAGACTTAACTTTGTGAATTAATGGTGTGTGTTGCAGGCCACCATGCCTTCCAGTGAGAAACATCCCTCACATGTGCCAATGTGGAGAGGAGTTAAAGTGTCCTACACACTCATTGCAGTATGCTTGTTTCCCCTTGCAATTGGAGGCTACTGGGCCTATGGTCACTTGGTAAGCAACCCTAATCATTAATAATCAAACAAAACCCTAAACTTGAATTATAAGCTCAATTAAAGATTTTAATACTTAATTTAATTTTGTTTTTGTTCTGATTTACAGATACCACCAAATGGAGGGATGCTTCCAGCTCTTTACGAATACCATTCAAAAGATGTGTCACAATCCCTTTTGGGGCTCACAAGCTTGTTTGTGGTGATAAATGCAGTGTGCTCATTCCAAATCTATGCCATGCCAATGTTTGATGACACAGAGTCAAAATACACCAGCAGAATGAAGAAGCCAGTGCCATGGTGGCTGAGGTGCATTAATAGGGCCATGTTTGGCTATGGGTGCTTCTTTGTAGCTGTGGCAATTCCATTTTTGGGAAGTGTGGCTGGTTTGATTGGAGGCATATCACTGCCTGTGACATTAGCATACCCTTGCTTCATGTGGATCAAGATTAACAAGCCTAAGAAGTATAGCCCAATGTGGTGTCTCAATTATTTTCTTGGGGTTTTTGGGATGCTTCTGAGTGGCTTCCTGATGGCAGCTGGTTTGTATGTTGTCATTGATACTGGTATTAAAGTCCAATTCTTCAAGCCGTGAATGAGGCAATTACCACCAAAAAAAGGAAACGTTGGGGGAGTAATCTGAGGATAAGGGTGAATTTTACAGGTAATTAATTTGTTTTATTGTTCATTTGTGAAGCAAAAAAAAAAAATGGTGTTTACAGTTGTAGTTTGCTGCCTGCTTTGCTGCTGCTGAGTTTCGAAGGAAAAGATAACACAATTATATATATAATCTCTTTTGTTCTTTTTGGGCTTGGAAATGTTGTAGTTGACATTCTAGAATCTTTAGGTGTGTGTAATATCAGTTTAAGTAAAATCTTCATGTTGAAGCTTCATATACTTGTGTCAATCTCTCTCTCTCTCTCTCTCTCTCTCTCTCTCTCTCTCTCTCATAATGATGGCAAAATATCCAAAAGGAAGTGACGATGCCATCAACAATGAACCACCCTCTAGGCTGCCACTCTAATCAAATAAAAGGAAAAGGATCACACTAATAAGTTGGTTAGTTGAAACTTCAAAGAACTAATAACAATGCGGCCAATTGAAATATCTCCCCTTAGGATGTGGACTTATGCAATTATTCAAAGAAATGAGATTTTTGGCAAACTTTGGCAGTCTTGATTGATTGCCTCATTGCCGACTGGCAAGGCAAGTCTTTTGTTCTCTAAAATCAACTCCCTCCTTCATCATTTACCCCAAAAGTCTCATGAAATGAAACTGAAACGTGACGGCAAAGGCACAATATCAAGGCCAAACAGGGCAACTTGTTAGTTAGCAAGTATGCCATGCTTTTATTATTCAACAAGCTTTATTCAGTCTCATAAGGTGGCTCAAATTCAATGTTCACATGATGACCCTGACCCATGCTTCAACTGGTGTGGTGTGGACGCACAGAAACTTCATGCTCTACGCTTTTGTCATTTGCTCACAGAATAAATATTAGGTGAGGAGGGAGGGTATAATTTTCAAGTACTTGATGGTACGATACCATTGTCAAATTATGGTAGATGAATTGTATACTTTTATTCACCCAACCAATACTTAAAAGTAAAAACCTTTGAAGGGTGGAGGCGATTGAATGAATTTTTAAGCACCAGATGCTTTGAAGTCATGACTTTCAAAGTATAACCTATTGCACGTTCATATTATAACATGTGAATTAATAATTACAAACAAAACTTGCAGCGTGTTATATGATATTTATGAATCTCATTGTTGATCATATCTTAGAGAAAATTCTACCAACGTAGATGGATCACCTTTTTTCTGTTTCAAATCAGGAAGAAATTGAGGAGCTCGTGAGAATCGGGTGCATAGCCAACAGGTATCAAGAAGTTTGGATTTTGCAGATTTAAGCCTATGTTATTTTTAAAAAAATTACACGTAACGAGGTTAACACTATTTTGCTATCCTCAGCCAGTAACACAATGACACGTAAAAAAGTTATCGTATGTATCATTGCTTTATTGTTCGGAGATAGCAAAAAGTGATATCCCCTTTACAATGACATAAGGTGAAATCACCGCCAATTTTGTTCGCTTTTATTGATATATATATTTATCTTCGAATGTTGTGACATATATGTAGGAATCTATGTTGAAGGCTGAGCTTCGCAACATGGAAAAAAAAACGCAGAAGAGGGAAAGAGTATATATGACCTACCTAAAAAATGTAATCTTAAAGCTTCTTGAACAGGCATGTTAAGGAGCGAAGCTTTTCCCTTTTTATTATAGACTGATGTAACAATCAAAGTCGTCTGCCCTTTTTCATATTCAACGGCAATCACCTAGTGAGACATGTTTATACAAGTAATATTGGAATGTCGTCTGATTGCTTTTATTACTCAAATAGGTGAAGCGGAGGCTCTGTTACCTGTGGTTTTCCTGGATTGTCAATTGCAATTTCTAATTTATGCACACTTTACATACTAATGCAGATGCAGGAATGGCAACAAGCGTACCGAGCATCCGGAGATGTACCTCCTGGACCGAGCGAGTGATGCTTCAGGATCAGCGACTTGTCTTTTCTCAATATTCTTATTTTCGTAATCGTAACCACAGAAGTGAAGATTGTAGACAATTTTTTGCACAGAAACTAGCTGCTCCAGGTAACCAACTGCTTGCCTCCAGATTCAAAGGTGGAGGTGCGATCATAGTAAATCTTGTATTCTTTTGTAACGTCGAACTATTGTTTATCGACAATGTCCAGAAAATGTAAACTACGACAGCCATTATACGTAGAGTGTAACAAAAGAAAAGCACAGGCGTGATTTTGGAGATTATGTTTGCAGGCAGATGATGATGGTCCCTTTTTTTCAATGAATATTCGGTCTCCCTACGCGCGATATTACTAATTTTATTTGACTAAAAAAGTAGCAGACATGATATTTGAGTATTCATTGCCCAAAGATTTTTCTACTTGGATCCATCGAAATAAGGCCTTGTGTATTCATTAACTAGAAGCAGAGAGGTTTTAACTTTGATATGAAAGAAGAATAAACAAGAATATTCATTAAACTATAATGCACATTTTCAATTTCAATTTACTACTACAGCTACAGGACAGAAGCTACGCTGCAGACATTATCACCTCAGTTCATCACTCTTGGTCGTGTTCGCAGCCGTCTAGTTTTGCTTTCTTCACCAAAAAAGTTTTAGCCAAGAAGGACGTAAAAGCTTGTGGCCTTCGTCGGAGAAGGCATTCATAGAATCCAAAATTCCTACCCCCTTGGAATTGTTAGCATGAAATGTATTCCCACTGACGATATTGCCGCCGTTGACGACATAGATGCCGCCTGTCCCGTTGGAGGCCTGTGAGGGGCTCAGGTGGGGAACAGGAACAGGTGGTGACTTGCTTAGCAGATATTTATGAATATCATCAATTAACTTCTGACGTTCAGAAGTGCCATATTTTGGGGCTGCTGCACGAGATTTGATGGCCAGATCACGCCTTTCTTCCTTATTGTATTCTACTGAACCCAATTCACCATCTGGATAGGTGGGCATTTCATCGATAAGTGCATATAAAGCATCTCGCACCCCCCATGATGGCTGCCAATCATTCAGTCGCCTTATCCTGATCTTGTTGTGGGTTTTGAAGCGACCATTTTCCGTCAAAAGCGTGAATGAAGGAGGCTTGGATGGGTACTCCTTCGGAAACTGCATCCGCCCATGATAAATCCCACCCTCGAATTCAGTTCCACTAGCGCCTCTGATTCCAAATTGCCATTCATATGGGTTCCGCTCGAGCGTGCGGCAGTAAAAATCGTCGGAGGGATTGGATTGAATCGCTCTATACTCCTCTAAAAGGTACAGCCTCAGCTCTTCGACCTGACGCTTGACTGGATTGTAGGGATTGTAGGGTATGGATTCAATCTCACGAATCCGCTTCATCGCTTGGTAGCGATCCAATGCCATTTGATTTTGTTCGATCTGCGTCGATCCAACTCGAACGTCGGAGGGTTTGGATTCAAACTCACGAATCCGCTTCGTCGCTGGGTAGCGATCCAATTCCCTTTGATTTTGTTCGATCTGCGTCGATCCGACTCGATCGTCAGAGGGTTTGGATTCAATCTCACAATACTCGTCTAGAATCCGCTTCATCGCTGGGTAGCGATCCAATTCCATTTGATTTTGTTCCATCTGCGTCGATCCGACTTGATCCACCACAACCAACGCTTCCGGTTAACAAAACTTTAAATATATACTTCTCAAAATACGAGGAAAGAGAGCCGGCGGTGTTTAATTATTCTCAAAGGAAAGAGAGCCGGCAGTGTTTAATTTCATAGGTCTTGTCAAATATGCTGATCTTGCTGCTGTTTCTTCAGAGCAAATTCAAAAGCTTAGATGGATTTGAAGTTCAAGGCTCCCACAACTTACAGTGACAGAGAAGAAGAGGCAAAGCTGTAACTGTTTGAGAGTTGGACAGAACTAGTCTAGATATGTCTATTTGGCTGCGAAAGAACTGAACAAGGGAAATCGAGCATGAGATGAAAGCGGAAGGGTAGAGAGTGCAAGAAAGCCAAGTCGAGAAGCGGAGATTGCAGAATGGGAGAGTGCGGCGCCAAAGAGAAGAAAACGTGAAAAGATATAGGGTTAGTCTAGGGTTTAGGATGGGAGAGTGCGGAGCCGTGTCTTGACCGTGTCCAGTGCGGCACACCCAAAAGGGGTTTCGAACCCCTACCACCTTCATTTCTCTCTAATGATTTATCCACCATGCTACAGACAACTTTGTGATTATATACTATGCCTTTTGATATTTATAATGTTTTTTTTTTCTATCTCTTTTGTTTTTCATTCTTTTCCGTATCTCTCTCTATTTTCTGTCTTTTCCTTTTCTCTTCTCTCTAGTATAATCATAAAAAATCGCCTTAATTCATTTTTAAAAAAACCCAATAAACAACAAATAATATAATCATAGAAAAGTTTAAATTGAAAGCTTCATCATCCTACAAAGTTTATGTTCATATCAATCTCACAAAAGCAAATAAGTACACAGCTTAATGAAAATAAGCACAAATAAGCTTCAAACCAAAATCGATAGCATACTCAGAATCTTGGCTTCAATGCTTATTTCATTTCATAACATGTGATTACATACATAAACTTGCTAATGCATGCATAAGCTTCATCTCTTTTTTCTTTCTTTTCCTCCTTTCTTCTCTCTCTCTTTTTTTCTTTCCTCCGCCATCACGCACCGACCAATACCATTTGATTTTGTTCGATCTGCGTCGATCCGACTCGATCCACCACAACACAACCACCTCTTCCGGTTAGCAAAACTTCAAATATATACAATTATTCTCACAATACGAGCGAAGAGATGAGGAAAAATGGCCGGCTGTGTTTGTATGCAGGGCTCCTCATGCAGAGTAAATATGCAGATCTTGTTGCGGTTTCTTCAGAGCAAATTCAAAAGCTTAGATGGATTTGAATTTGAGTTGGACAGAACTAGTCTAGAGATGTCTATTTGGCCGAGAAAGAACTGAACAAGGGAAATCGAGCATGAGATGAAAGCGGAAGGGTAGAGAGTGCAAGAAAGCCAAGTCGAGAAGCGGAGATTGCAGAATGGGAGAGTGCGGCGCCAAAGAGAAGAAAACGTGAAAAGATATAGGGTTAGTCTAGGGTTTAGGATGGGAGAGTGGGGAGCCGTGTCTTGACCGTGTCCAGTGCGGCACACACAAAAGGGGTTTCGAACCCCTACCACCTTCATTTCTCTCTAACAAATTATCCACCATGCTACAGACAACTTTGTAATTCCTGAGCTGTGGGTAATTGTTCCATTCGGTATTTACTGCTTTGAAGACAGCAAAACTCGTATAAATTTCTGCATGCTCCTTTACTGAAAGGGTAAACTCTTTCGGGAACTCCTCTGTCAATCATAACAAAGTAAGAAGAAATAAGAGTCTAAAAGCATAGTGGTCAAACAGTTTAATTCGTACATCATTGCAATGTTCCCAGAGAAGTCTACTCAGATGAACTTTTGTAGAACAAATTGACATGTCTAACCACATGTTATATTTTCACCTATACTTCTTTAATGAATCAATACCAAAGTATAATATATGACACCGCATATTTTCAACATATGATGACTAGTAAGTTTAGTTATTTTCAGTAAGTAATACTACATGGTAGAAAATAAAACAAAATAACCAACCTTAAATATGGGATGCGCCTCCGTCTTACAAGCTCATAGGTAGTCTGATTGGTCAGAACAAGATAACTGCAAGAAAAGAATAAATAAATTCATGTCCAACTGATACACTGAAGTTACGCTTTAAAGGTAAAAGACTCAGTTAGAAATAACAAAGCAGGAGCGAGGGAGCGGAAAGAGACAGCAAGAAAGAGATTTCAATTCTTTATATTTATTTTACTAGAAAACTACTAGTGAAAACATCATAACAGAAACAACCAGCGAAAGTTATCTGTGAACGCGTTAAAGTTAGGTACTTCTACAAAATTGACATTATGATCATGATGTCAAGCATAGGAGGAAAGGTCTTGTATTTAAGAAGCCCGAAGCTGATGTCAAATATAACATTTTTACCTGTGAAATAGCAGCAGGAGAAGCAGAAAGATCATGGAAATTGACAAAGTAACCAACAGCAATATCACAATAGCATCCTTCCACCTGACAATTATAACATTCCCATCCAAACTCAGATCAAAATTAAGTCAGAAATTACAATTGAAAAGAAAACCCTAAATAGCCAAATAAAACTTCATAATGAAAACCACAAAGGACCACAGTAATACATTAATATCCAATCAATGACCTTTCTTTTCTATTTTTGTTTTTCTCTTCAATCTTTTTCTATGTGGTATGATTTTAATAGAGCAGCAAACCCCTTAGACATTACTTGCATAATGACAAGGGCAAAACAGAAATCGTTCCCATGAAATAAAGACCTCATAAAAGATACCATACCAAGCACTTGATATGTTAGCCTTCAGATATGTGATGTACATGATGCCAGTCCAAAGGCACAATGATGTCTCTTCACAAATGTACCACCTACAACATTTAGAACAAAAGACATAAAAGTTCTTGATTAGGACTTCTAATTTTGAAATCTACTTATACAAGTTTTACATGCAGAACTAAAATGTACTGATTGCCTATCTGAGTATAACCAACTATTTTACAAAGGACCAGTCAAGAAACTCAAAACCATATAAGACTAGAATTTCTTGAACTTTTAGTACCACCAACAACAAGAATAGTCCAACCAAATTAGAATAAAATTCTTTGAAAAAGGTGAATCCATTTCAAAATAACATGACTTAGTAAAGATAGAATATTCTTTTTATTAAAGAAACACTAAGCATAATTTGGAGAAGGAATACAAATGTTAATGAAACAATTGGACTAATCTACATAACTGCAAATCTAAATTCAACAACCGGTATTCATATTAGTCTGTCACAGCACAAACAGAACATGGAATATCTCTGCCTATTGGTTATAGCAAAACTTAAGAATGCAGATTACAGTAGCCAACTTTTATACTAGTAGAAAAGCATACTCACCAAAATTTACAATGATTACCCAGACCAATGCATGTTCCAAGCCAAACACAATGATGATCGAATTGGAGAACACATTTGTCACAATCATGACAGTGCTTTGATCTGGGAGGCTGCATATAAGTTAAAAGCAAAATGTTTAATCATCAAAATTTGCATTATGGGTAAACAATAAATCATCTGTCCCAAGGTCAAATATATATGCTAAGAATCTTGATGCATAACCTGAATAATAGGGGCAATGGATATCTAGAAGATTGCAACTACAATCTTGTCTAGTAAGCAGCATATAAATTTGAATGCTCTAATGTCTCCAGTGGTGCAAACTCATTTGTCCCAAGGTCTAATGCGAAATAGATGAAGTTTTTTAAGAACCTTAGGCAATGATAAAGGAGGGAAACTGATGGTGTTAATGACGCGTGATGAGTCCATATCATCTCTCACTGCTTTACACTTTAGGATAAAATATTGACAGTCAATTCACCTAGTCTATAACAATAGCATTTAAGGACAGAGGTTTCCACACCAAGCTGCTTAATTATAACATTTTTTCTTCTCTCCCCTAAGATGGACATCTTCTCTGTGTTTCCTAGTGAGTATTCCTTTCTTTTAAAGTTTAGTTCCTTATTAAAAAGATGTTGGCAAGAGATAAAAAGTAAACCACCATAAAAGATGAATATGTAAAATTGAGATGGTACTACCTGCTCAACATTACAGTACGAGCAAGTCAAACTTCTGCAATAACCAAAAGGAAGCAGTCAGCAGAAATATTTGTGAATCATCAAGACTAGTCTAAGCTTCGATGTTGTATTCAAAAGAAAAAGTTTGCACCAAAACAAGTTAAACTCAGTTTCCCTAACTTATTGTATGTAGAAACAAACACAACTAAAATGAGATGCACATACTGATGTGTAAACACCAAATAATCACTTTGAAATAGTACAACCAAAAGGATACTGCTCTATGAAATAATTGCATACCGAACAGATGTTCCTGGGGGATACAAGTCCATCACAAGTTTGGTCCAAGATGTTGCATTACTTCCAAGAAGACTTCTTGCCATCTGACTCCCTTCCACTGTCACAACCACGCTTCCATTTTTGCTTGAAGCAGGCTGTCTTTGCTTAAACATTATAATTTTAAAAATGAGACAGTAAGATGACATGAAAGAATTAATTCACGTCATCGTTTTAAGATATGCGTCTATACTGTTTATCATATGAAAAAAGAAACAAAACAAAAGTAAACAAAGGAAAGCAACGCTTACTTTGAGGCTACTAATGCCTTTCTGAAAATTGAATTTGACTCATTGACTGCCCTCATTGCATCAAGGACAAAGCTAAATTTAAAATTACAAAAATCACAATGAGCTGAAATTGGACCACAAGCATCAAGTTTTCTGATCATATTAAAACAGATTTAATCTTAAAGCAGGTTAAGTGCATTGACATTTACCCCGGAGAAGAAGCAGAAGTAACAAAGTATTGGACCAATGTGGCAACAAAGAGAGTCAAATAGGTAGCAGTATACCTGAAAAGGACAGAAAAGAAAGACATAGTAAGGAGGGGGTTGGGGTTAATACAGCAAAATTGCATCAAGGACAAAGCTAAATTTAAAATTACAAAAATCACAATGAGCTGAAATTGGACCACAAGCATCAAGTTTTCTGATCATATTAAAACAGATTTAATCTTAAAGCAGGTTAAGTGCATTGACATTTACCCAGGAGAAGAAGCAGAAGTAACAAAGTATTGGACCAATGTGGCAACAAAGAGAGTCAAATAGATAGCAGTATACCTGAAAAGGACAGAAAAGAAAGACATAGTAAGGAGGGCGTTGGGGTTAATACAGCAAACACTAGTAGAGCATTTCAAATATGATGACTCAGTCATTTGTGACCCAATTCAAGTTCATTGATACTGAAATTCCATAAGTTCCACGATTAGTTCAGACAGACTGTTACGACAAAAAAAAAAAGGTTCAGACAGACTGTGATAAATAACTTGTACATGTTTATCATCAATGCAATGCACACATTGCTGAACAATAGGCACTGGCTTATCAGTTTGACTTTCGCTAATTGACACCAAGCCTTACATACATGATGGGGTTCACTCTGTGATCTTAAATTGAAAATTCCAATTAAATGGTTTTCCCTTCAATTATGCAACTATCTAAGATACTATGAAGGACCTATCCAGTTAAAAGTCCTAGAGTACCCATTCGCGTAAATGAGCTAAGTCTGTCTATCAAACGTGTATTAGGCTTCTCACCACAAAATGAAATGCAATTCAAATATAGAATAAATAATTGTATAGAAGCATTAGCATACCACGGTTCTCTTTTAGTTTTCTCTATCAATCCTCCATCAAACAGAAAAAGCACGCCCACATATATCAGATGTAGCATCACCAATGCAACTTTTAAACCCAAGGCAGACCTTCGAGCTGAAACCCAAGTACCCCAAGTAAAAAAAAAAAAAAACAATCTTTCATTAACAAAAATAGTCAAGCTCTGTTAAAACAATAATATAAGGGGAAAAATCTTACTTTCGCATAAAAAGTAAAATTGTAGACTCAATTGAGATTACCAAACTAAGTAGCTGAACCGAAACAGTCAGATTGAGTTTTCATTTCGAATTTTTTAAAAATAAATAAGAAAATTAAAGAAAAAAACTCACCGGGATCGGAGAGACAAGGAAGAAAGCGGTAGCATCGGTCCAATGGTCGACACGACGAGCGGCACATGTTCACGATCGTCATCAGACGAAATTTATAAAGAAAACGAGAAACTGTTTACATGTCAGTATTCTGACAAACTGGGTTTCCAGGGAAACGCTTTGTTTCGCTCCAAAAATTGAACTTTCTCGAGAAAGTGATGGAATTTGGAAAACCCAAGTGGTTAAACTGGCAGAGCAACGGGCCTGCGAGAAGGGTTTGGATTTGGATAGAGAAATTAGCTTTTTCTCTTTTCACAGAGACTGGAAAATTCAATACGTAGCTATACGCCTCAGCCCTTTGTCCCTCTGTCTCTAACACTTTGATTTGTCATGTGCGTATTGCGCATACCACACCACCCCCATTTTAGAAAACTTACCTCTATCTACTCGCAGTAACCTTTTTCTCTGTCTCTGTCTCTCTCTCTCTCTCTCTCATCGGATGTAAGTCCATGGAAGTTTTAATCCCATTTTTAAGCTTTTACAACTCTTTCATAATATAATACTTCTCCAACTGCGCTCACACCTGTAAGTAGTCTTTTATTAATTTATTTTTCTTTATTTATAAAGAATTTTCATTGGATATCAACTCTTATATGGCCTTTTGCTTTATATATGTATATGAAAAGAAAATAGTAAATTTTTTTTTTAAAAACAAAACATACAGAAATGAGGATCGAACTCGGATTTTGAAAAGTGAGATATATAACAAATGCAATCTAAATAGGTTTCTTGATTTAGTATGTCAAAGGTTGTTGTAGGAATTCACTTTATTCATTTAGCTTAGCTCCTAATTTAATCTGTATTGTGTTTAAAATTTAGTTGATTTCGTTCATAAACTTGAATGTTAGGAATCAAGCATTTGGAGTTCACACTGCCTTTTAATATAAAAAGTCTCCACTCTGTTTTTTTTCCAAATATATTTGTTGACACTCAAGAACGTGAAACATGGACATAGATTAAACTATGTAGGAGGAATATTTATACTTTCTCTTGCATGTAAAAATTACGCATGATTCGAGCATGACTTTTAAAATATCGAATACACACTATTTTTGAAGGATCACGTACGAATAACATGAAACTTTTTGCACGAAAAAATCAACAAGAAATTGAATAACTCAAGCAAAGAAAAACCTGTCATAAAAGGAGACCACACAAGTTTGATAGTAAGTATTGGAACGGAACAAGTTAGATAGATAGTCATTGCACCGACAGGTCCTACTTCCATACACCTAACTAAAGCTAGCAAGTCCACAAATACACGACCCAACCTTATTATTCCTTTGTCCACACGGTCTGCTTCACCAATCATTCAATTTCAATAAATTATTCTCTTATCTTACTATAAAAAATAATATATCCCCAAGTCAAAGAATCACACTAACTATATATACATATATAGTCCATTATTGAGGAATTTTTCAAATAATTTTATTTGAGGGACACCTTTTAGGATCTTCTACAAAAAAAATTTCAACGATCCAAACAATCTATTTTTTAAGTTTACATTCATAGATTATCTTTGCAGAAAATTAGACAAATCGAAACCGTATCGACATCCAATTGTGTCCTACAAAATCAATGAACACGGTGCTTTAAGAAAGTACTAAAATTTTAATAATTCAATTAAGTGGTCAAATGATATCATATTCAATTAATTTTTTTTTTATAAATATGATCTTTGAATGAATATCTACAAAATAAATGGTTTGGATTAGTGAAATACAATACGAAGTGGGCCCTATAAAGGTATCCCTCAAATAAACTTGTTTAAGAGATCACTCAACTGAAGCTCACTATATATATATACACAGATGTGTATGTAGCTGGAGAACTCTGTTGGTTCTAGGCTTGCAATCAACCTTATGAAAAATTAGGGTTTGGGCTGCACTATTCCCTTTATTTGTTGGGCCTTTTGGCTTTGGCCCATGTAGCCTAGAAATTGTAGATTGATGGTAGTTTTGGAGGATCCATCTAGGTAGACAAATGTCAACCGTTAATGCATATAAACTTGTCTAGAGAATTCTGAAAAAGCAAAACTCATACAACCGTAAGAAGTATCAAGCTGGCATAAATTAGAGAACAAAAATGGGTTAAAAATCATATTTAATAAGGGAGGAAGCAATCAGAATGTTCCCATGGAATATCCTAAGCTGTTGCAGTCATGAGTCACCCTCTGGGTTAAATCACTAATTAGAAAATTCCGCCTCCAAAACTAAACCAAGCATTGTTTTAATTAATTTCCTTGTAATATGCGGCTTCTAGCCAGACAGGAAAAAACTTAGGACAATGACCCTTAAGCATCTTATGGCCCCAAACACTGCTTCTAGTACTTTCTTTCTCAACTTATTGTCTTGTAAATTTGCAAAATCCGAGGTAGCAATTAATCTAAACGAAGCTTCTATATATATATACTTTGGTCTCTGATATGATTAATATACAACTTACAGCTCGATACAAAACTATTGCTATGGCCAAAGGGTTGAGATCAGTATTTTCTGTTGGGCTGATTGTGTTGTATCTGGGCATGCTTGGTTTGCATGAATGCAATCAGCCAAGTGTGCCAGGAGTTTATATTTTTGGTGACTCGACTGTTGATGTTGGGACCAACCATTACTTGCCTGTGTCTGAGTGTCGATCAAGGGCTGATTTCCGTTATAATGGGATTGATTTTCCTCACTGTATACCAACCGGCAGATTTAGCAACGGCTTCAACGTTGTTGATTTTATTGGTATATATAATTTTGATTTTATGCCATGTCTATTTAACTTTGTTTTTGTAAGTTTTCAATTGGGTTTTTAATCTGTTAATTATATTGATTTTATTTTATTTTGTTGGTGTGTGGTTTTAATTAGCCACCTTTCTGGGTTTCAAGATGAGCCCGCCACCTTTTCTCTCCCTTTTAGACAAGAATAAGCAATTGCCCAAAAGGATGACGAGATTGCTAAGTACGGGAGTTAACTTCGCCTCAGGAGGATCGGGACTTCTAAATGAAACTGGAAGGCAGTGGGTAAGCTTAATATGTATCTCACCCTTTCTCTCTCTGGAGTCTATAATTTCTCTACTATTAGAGAAATTGGAATAATGCGTTCAGTAAATGTGATCCAAATAATAATAATCGTGAAAAAATATTTACGAAATTAATTATGTTGCATTATGCACATAGGGAAAGGTGATTCCCTTTGGAGAACAGGTGGAGCAATTTGCAACAGTACGCAACAAGATCTCAGAATTATTAGGTGAAGAGGGTGCAGCGGCTAATATATCCAAGTCTCTCTTCCTCATCAGCGTTGGAAGCAATGACATCCTCGAACATTTTGCTTATAATAGCCAATCTGGACAAGCCTACATCACCACTCTCATGTCCACTTATGAAAGTCGTTTAAGGGTAACAATTAATTTGTTCTTCTAATTTCTTTACATTATAAATTAATCAAAATAAATTAAGATTCTTAATTACTGTTTGCAATTGCAGAATCTATTTGATATCGGAGCCAAAAAATTTGGGATTATTAGCGTTGCACAAATCGGGTGCATCCCTTTGATGCGTAATTTTACTCAAACTGGGGTTTGTTTTGAGCCCATGAATGAGCATGCTCAATTGTTCTACAAGGCACTGCATGACATGTTGCTTAAGTTAAGCTCAGAATGCAAAGGGATGATGTATGCTCTTGCAGATGCTTATAATATGACCACACCCATTCTCAAAAACCCTTGTAAATTTGGTAATGTGAGAGTAATTTTTCGGTGTGATTTAAAATAAAGCTACATGTTATGTATTATGTAGTGGTGTAACAAATCCACTCAACTTATAATATGTGGACTAACTTATTTGTCAAAGTATATTTTTAGGGTATATTCTTATCCAATAATTTTTGTAGGTTTTAATGAGGTGAGAAAAGCTTGCTGCGGAAAAGGAAATTTCAATGCCGAGAAGCCATGTACACCAATGGCGCATGTGTGTAAAAATCGCACTGACCACTTGTTCTGGGACCAATATCATCCAACACAAGCTGCGTCTCATCTTGCAGCTCAAGCTGTTTATTATGGTGATCATGAGTTCGTGGTACCCATGAGTTTCGGTCAATTGGCCCTACTTCCATGATATATATACACCTCTCTCTCTCTAGCTTCCATGACTGTCTTGAAGCAATTGTGACCTCATAGTCTTATTTTTAAGGCATGCCTATTTTAAATATATTGTGTAATAAGATCTCAACCAAAGGGTGGTTCAATAAGAAATAATTGTTGAAGAACAGAAGAATTGTATTTCGTTAACAAGAAATCTTTGAGCTATATTGAGCAAACCGAGCGATTCAAACACAAAACAAAACCACCTTTATAATAAGAGATATTTAGTAATATACTCATTCTTAGCACTAAAACTATAAATAAATCATACACTATTTAATTTCTATAAACAAACCCAAAAAATTATAGCTGACCCTATTTAATTTTATTTTGATTATTAAATTACTATGATGCCCTATTGAGTGTTTTGGGCTTTTTTATGAGGTTTTGGGGTTGGGTTTGTTTTAAGAAATCAATAACAGTTTTGTAATTTAAAAGAAATTAAAAGCCTTTTTGTTATGTTGTAAATGGGCTTTGGGTGTGTTTCTAAAGTCCATTTCATATAGGTTTTTTTATTTTATAATTTGGGCTCTTATATTGAGTATAATAGTGAATCTCCCTTATAATAATTGACCATGCAATTGTGTTAATAGACCATACCGCCAAGCCTATAGCATGGTGTTAGTAGACACCCCCGCATGCTGATCCGACCTGACTCGCCATAATGGGTCACTACCTCAAAAGTAACCTATCGACCCGATCATATCACTGGCCTTGTCATACCAAGGTCGGCTGAATGGCATCTGTTCACGGTTAGAACCACTCGAGCCATATACTTGGGCAAAGTTTCTCAAGATCCCCCACAATTGAACCTGAGCAGCAAATCAAGATGACTAGAGAATCTAGGGAAGATCGCTTCTCTGGACAAGTTAAACCACGTGGGTGTCCAGACAAGACTAAAAGGGAGCACTTAATGCACTTCAAATCAAGTCCAGGTGTCGTCCCACTATTGGTCCTCATAAATCAGCATGGTGGCTAACGCCTATAGTCACTCTCCTATCCTAGCATGGGGGGGTGGCTGAAGATCTCATATAGGCTGGATTTAAGGAGATATGATCCCATTTCTTCCCATATAAATACCCTTCACCTACATTGAGACGAAGGTAATAACTCCATCTCCAGAAAACTCAACTCATTCATTCCCCAAGAACATCATCAGTTTAGCCCCTAACTTAGGCATTAGAGGGGATTTGGCGGGTACCACATCGATACCCCCCCTTCTTTTGATAGTCTCTCTTGTTGTTTAGAGTGTGTATGTTGTTCTAAAGGATCAAAGGGACCTCCCTACCTAGATAATTTGCTGAGGTCCGTCCATTCAGGGTCTGTTTAACCCATTTGCTGGTCTTGACCCAAGTCCGGGCCTCAACCAGCCGAGGAAATCATCCACTCGGTCAACAAATTGGATGTTACTTTAAAATGAAAAATAAAGGTAAAAGAAGAAGTATGGTGTCAAGAGGATCATCAAGAAGTTATACATCTGCTAATAGTTTGCCAAACAATTTGTTGGGTTTTTTTTTTCTTTTTTCGGTGAATCTTATTACAAAAAAAACAACGAAACAAAACGTCCACCAATATCAAGTATTTTTTTTGTGAGCGTTTACCTCCATAAACACCACAAAAGCTCAACAATTTTCCTTTTCATATGTTTGTGAACCCAAAAACAAGGAATTAAATAGTTTATACATAGAAATTTTTTGTTGTTGCCGACGTTAGAAAAAGGAGGAAGGTTTTCTCACACACTGCCAATGTGTCATAGGGGTTCGGAACCTAAGACTATTATTGGTTTGCAAGTCAATGACCTTTTTCACTAGGCTCTATACCTCGTTGGTGTAGAACTTAAATTTTGTCAAAAAGATGCTTAGAAACAAATAAAAAGTTCATTTGAATATTTAATTTGTTATGTCCGATAGATAAAAAGAATATTTATTTCCTTATGAGGCGTATTGAATATGGGATATTCAAGGCTAATTCCGAACCTATAAATTCCAACTTCCATATAGTTTATTACTAAAGGGAATCTTCAAATGAAGACACAAATAGTCATATTTCAATAATATTCTTAATTCTTGAACTTACTGCGAGATGGATCGATTACAAAACGTTCTTAGCAATAACAATAAGCTGAGAATTGCATGGTTATCGTTCCTAACTAAGGAATAAAGTGGAACCTAAAAAACGAAAAAGAACAAACACAACATTATAATGAAAAGTAATAAAGAAAGAAGAAAAATATACGGCGGAGTCGAGAGAAACAGAAGAAATTTCATACCAAGAGAAGACGTCATATGCTGGTGATTATGAGCAGACATGCACAGATATAGACACGTGCATAAATTCAAATTTTAGGCAAATCCGCCATAAAAATCAAGTTCTTGGGTAATATAGAGGCTGGGACGGTGACAACATATAACATCACCTGGTTGTTCATTTTTCACATCTTCCGCTAATATAAATATGGAATGAATCGAGAGCTACATGAAGAAAAGGTAGCTAAATTGGAACCTTGGCCGGCAACATGTATAAAGCCAGCTAGCTAGCCCTAGTGATCTTAGTTATTATGGCAAAGCAGATTTGTGCATTCTTCTTCTGCTTCTGGTGGTTTCTGTTTTGTCTGGGGCACATAGCCAATGCAGATGATCCAGTAACTATTTTCATCTTTGGAGACTCAACTGCTGATGTTGGTACAAACAATCTGTTACAATCAAGTTTCTCGACGAGGGCTGATTTCGCCCCGAATGGGATTGATTTTCCATATTCTGTGCCTACTGGAAGGTTCAGCAATGGCCTTAACACCGCTGACCAAATTGGTAATTATAATTAACTAATTAATATTTGTTTATATATACCATGCAACTTAATTGATTAGCTATATACTTTGATTTGTAGCAAGACTATTTGGCTACCAGAGAAGTCCGCCACCCTTCTTGTATATTCTCAACCGTACCTCCACTTTCAAAAGAGATATTCTGCAGGGTGTGAACTTTGCTTCAGGGGGATCCGGCATATTAAAGGAAACTGGAAAATCCAATTCTGTAAGCATGCAACATTATTTACTTCATGGTTATGTTGTCTCACTGTAAATTAAAATTAATTCTTGTTTGAACGTTTGAGGCCTTATATATAAATTATCTAAAATTAATTAACCTTGAAGTCGAAAATATAAATATTTATTTCATAATCTGTGTTGTTGCAATTAACTGTAGACCGAGGTTGTTCCACTCGGAGACCAAATCCAACAATTTGCAACAGTCCGGGGAAATTTCACAGAGTTGATAGGTCCCAATGCAACTGATAAATTTCTTGCCAAGTCTTTGTTCATCATTAGTGTCGGAAGCAACGACCTGTTCGACCATGTCGAACTTCCTTCCAATTCCTCTACCTCAGTTGATCCAGAGGATGAGTTCTTCTACATGGCAAATCTTCAATTCACGTACCGTAAACATTTAGAGGTATAGACGGTTCGGAGAGTGGACCAGATAAGGATGACCCTAAAATAAGCTTATAATTTGACGATTTTGTGATTAAATGCAGGGTTTGTACAAGCTGGGAGCTCGGAAATTTGGGATTATAAGTGTTGCTCCAATTGGATGTTGCCCTCATGCACGTGTTTCAAATACGTCGGGTGTTTGTAGAGAGGAACTAAACAAGCTTGCTCAATCCTTTTTCATTTCACTTAAGGATCTTCTGGGCAAAATGAGCTCAAAGTTGAAAGGGATGAAATACTCACTCGGAAACGCTTATGAGATGACCATGAGCATCATTGAAGACCCATTAGCCTTTGGTAAGTATTTCAGACAGAGTAAAATGAAGATCATGTTGAATTTTTTTTTTCTTAATTAAAGAAAAAATTGTTAAACTACTTGCTAGGTTTCAAGGACGTCCAATCAGCATGTTGTGGAAATGGACCGTTAAATGGAGTAATCCCATGCATGCATTTCTTAAACCCCAACCTTTGTGCGAATCGGCGTGAGTATTTGTTCTGGGACTTGTTTCATCCGACTGAATATGCTTCCCAACTAGCAGCACTTACCCTCTATGGCGCAGGGACAAGATTTGTGACACCCATGAATTTCAGTCAGTTGGCGGCTAATCCTGTTTAGGATTTGTGGCACCCATGAATTTTCTCATTTCCTTTTCCTAAAATAAGTTGATGTGTGTGTGAAGATTTTGTGAAGGTTTATTGTTTTGATCCATGTATGTGTTGGATTGAAATGCCACTATACTGTTTCCATTCTGAAGAAGATATGATTTACGATCTTCGTTTTATGGTATTTGTTTTTCCAATGTCTGTGTTGATAAATTGTCAATTTAGATCAAATAACATTCATGCAATTAAGGGATAAATATTGCAAGTCCCTCCCGTTTTAAATTTCGTTATGGTTAATTTTTTTAAAATATTCAATTTACCCTAATGCAAGAAAATTTCTCAAAACGACTTTATTTTAAAGGGATAAATAGGTAAAATAATACTAATATGTGAATAATTAAAAGGAAAATAAATAAATTTGTCTAGCTACAAGCGGAGGGGGCAAGACATCATAAAAACACAGCCGTTAGCTGTTAGTTCTTCCACTCTGCCAAGTCAGTCAAGATGGAGAAGAAGAAGGTGGATTGGTCCGCTCTTCCAAAGGAGCTATGGCTGACGATCGGAAATTGCCTCGACAGTCGCATCGACGTTCTCCGATTTCGCAGCGTCTGTACGTTATGGCGTTCCTCTGTCCCCCCTTTCAAGCAAACCACTGTTCCTCCTCTGCCCCACAAATTCTCCTCAGACGCCGTGGCTGCCGGAGCTGAACTCCAAGCCTTGCTCTTCCAAACCACAGTCTACCTTATGCAGCCACTCGTTGACGGAGAACCCAATTCATCAAATTCAAAACCATGGTTGCTGAAGCTTGAAGAGTCAAATTCTGGTGAATCGCGTTTACTTCACCCGATCACAAATTCGCCTCCCAGGTACTCCCCCAAAGCTAAGAACTTTAACTTATTGGACTTTGGGGTTGTTGAATTGCGCAAATCGTATAGTCTCAAGTATCGACAAAACAATGTCATTATTGCTTGTGTGAACAAAGTGGTGGTCATGGGTCAAACCGATTTGGATAATTGTTGTATATTCAAGATATTTGATGGAGGCAAGTTGGGTTTTCTGAGAATTGGAGATGAGAAATGGACCCATTTTGGTGAACAAAACTCTCACTATGATGATATTATTGTTTATAAGGGCCAATGCTATGTTGTTGATAGATTGGGAACAATTTATTGGGTGAGTTCAGAGTTAAAAGTGGTTCAATTTTCGCCTCCCTTATGTGGGTTTGGTGGGCAGAAGCATTTGGTTGAGTCTTGTGGTGATCTTTATGTGGTTGATCGTTGCCTTGATAGGGAGAGATCCGAGAGGAACCATCTTGAGGATAATAATGTTATATTTGGTCTTCATAATCATGTTCATCCTAATCCTTTCTTTGCCAATGCTGCGGTCCCTGAGGCTATTGATTTTAAAGTTTATAAGCTGGATCAAGAATGGGCTAGATGGGTTGATGTGAAGCACTTGGGAGATAAAGTTTTTATTTTGAGCAATGATGGGTCTTTCTCTGTCTCCACCAGAGGCTTTGCTAGAGTGAAGGGAAATTGCATTTTGTTCACCGACCAAAGGCATGCTCATTTACCAGGAGTTGCAGGATCAGAAGCAAGAAAAAGTCACAGTTGTGTGTTCGACTTAGAGGATGGCAGCATCAAGAATGTAGCGGCTTTTCGTGCCTGTTTTATGCTATGGCCACCCTCAAGTTGGCTCAGCCCTGATTAATGTCCCCATCTGCATGCTGATTGTTAAGTGTAAGTATGAAATGTTTCATCCTTACTTCTCTCTGTATATCTAGAATGTTTACTGATTACATGCTTATAAATTTTCTTGTCTTGCCAGTCAATGAGACAAAAGTGCTTGTACTCTCACCTAAGTTTTATCCTCTCAATCTAATAGTTAGTAAGCAATAGGAAGGAATGAAATTTCATGGTGGGGGGTATGGATGAAGTGTGCTGTATACTGTGGGATCTTATCACACTTACTTTATATACAAGCTTAGCTGTTCTGAGTAGATTATATTCTCCTAGACTTAAAATTGGGGTATTTGCATCCAAGTTTTGGCATCAATAACAAGGTTAGTGCCTGCAGTCCTCCTGCAAAAGAATATGAGCATTCAGCTCGAAGAATTGTAGGATGCGAGGGATAACAAACCCTCGTGGCTGACCGAATGTCTAGCAAGTAAGCTCAAATCTTCAGGAAAAGATTTCCCCTAGAGCACATTCTAATCCTGATTTTGGTTATTACTACCCGTGGTTTTTGTATAGACACATCCAAACTTTAGAAAGTATGCTTTGTGGTAAAAAAAAATTTCTTCCCTGAATATTCTGTACTAATTGTGTTTCACTTGGAAAAAAATTGTTTGGATATTAATTATTTCTTAACACTTGACAGAAAATTTGCTTACTGCTAATGAAGACCACTTTTTCTGCATCTCTCGGAGAAGGTGGAAAAATCCAATCCCTCATGAAGAGTCATTTGTAAAATTATCTGCTGTAAAACTAGTGTAAAAATTGATCAGTCTAGTTTATCCAAATGTTTAATATTGTAGTCTGTTAATGTTATTCTGGATGCATACTTACCGATTATGTAATTAAACTATCTGTTGAACTAATTACTATTTTCTAGGTGTGTAATAATGAAAATGACTATTTTACCCTTTATTTTCAAACTAATTGTTGACCTTCCAAAAACCAGCTTAGCCATGGTGACCAACGCTGGTCCTGGTCAATGTTAGCCAATTGTGTTCAATTTATGCCGTACTCAATTGCTCTGGGCTTTGCAGGTTTGCAGTTGCTCTGGGCTTTAAAGTTCTCATGAGACCCAACATTTTTAATTTTAAAAAAACAGTGAAATCGGTACTCTGTAATCTCCCAATAATTTTTTTTGTTCTAAAAATAAGTTGGCTGTGATGATTTGTGATGGTAATTGTTTTTATTGATTTGAATTGAAATAATACTAATTATTGACCATCCATGTTCAACAAGTGTCACATAAATTGTTGCAAAAAAAAATTTGCTTTCCAATGCAATTTTTTTTACTTTCCAGTTGTGCATAATCTATTCAACACCAAATAGTTTTTATTTTTATTTTTATAGTCTATTGAACACCTTACCAAACCTGCGTTTGCTTCATCCAATCACAAATTCGCCTCTCAGGAACTCTCCTGACGGTTCTTCAAAGCAATTCAACTTATTGGACTTTGGGATTGTGGAATTGAGCAAGTCGTATGCCCTTAAGTATCGGCTTAACGATTTCACTGTTCATTGTATGAACAAAGTTGTAGTCTTGAATCCAACCCATTTGGATAATTTTAATGTGATGATGATGCACGGTAAAGGCCAGTTGTACTTTTCCAGATTCGGAGATGAGAAATGGACCCTTTTGAAACACAACAACTCTTGGTTTGATGATATTATAACCTCCGGGGACCAAAATGAGAAATCTGATTTGCACAGTAACCCTCCACAAAATATAAACCAAAATCTGTCACTGTTTAGTTTTTGCAAATAAGTCCCTAAAACTTCAATCGAGCATAACTTCTTCATTTCAACTCGGATTCGCGAACCGTTTGCGCCTACGCGTTCGTGAGATCAATCTCGATTTTCCAAATCAAAAATCATAATTTTCTCGCTTCAATTTCTTGTACTTCCTTTGTAAAATCATAAACTTAATCATAAAGGTATTTTGTCCCAAATTGAGATTAAGTCACTTAATTCCAATATTTCCACACCAAACCAAAATCATACAACATCCAAAATAGTCACACGACTTAATAATATTTTCCACAAAAATAATAAAACCAAATATTATTTTTGAGGGTATTACAATTATTGCTTATAAGGGTCACTGCTATGTTGTTGATAGAGACGGAATAGTTTCATGGATGAATTCAGAGTTTAAGGTGATTCAATTTTCGCCTCCCTTAGGTAGGTCGGGTGAGCAGAAGCATTTGGTTGAGTCTTGTGGTGATCTTTATGTGGTTGATCGGTTCACTGAGAGGCCGGGGCCCAAGATGGGCAAGCTGTTAGAGCACTGGGACCTTATTTTTGGTGATCTCACTTCCCCTTATCCTGAGACAGTTGGTTTTAAAGTTTATAAACTGGAACAAGAATGGGGTAGGTGGGTTGAGGTGAATAGCTTGGGAGATCAAGTGTTTGTTTTGAGCCATGGCGACTCTTTCTCTGTCTCCACCAGAGGCGTTTCTAGAGTGAAGGGGAATTGCGTTTTATTCACCGACCAAAAGCGTACTCGGCAGTGTTCTGTGTTCAATTTGGAAAATGGCAGCATTACGAACCTAGCAGCTTCACCTGGCTATTCTCCGATGCTCCAGCCACCCTCAGCCTGGCTCTCACCCGACTGATGTCTGTCTGCATGCTGATTGGTGAATGTAAGTACGAAATATTTATTCTTACTTCTCAAGATATAGAATAGAATGTTTACTGGTTACATGCTTATAATTTTCTTACTAAGTTTCATCTTCAGAATGTAAAAACTAATAAGCTATTGGAAGGTTGGGGTCTTGAGTGTGTATGCAACTTAAAATTGGGGTATTTGCATCCATGTTTTGGTATCATAACATGGTTAGTGCATGCAATCCTCTCTCTCTCTCTCTCTCCCAAGTTTATACATAATGTCTAGCAAGTTGAACAGAGGCTCCAATTGAAGGGGCTATATACAAACACTCTGATGTATGTAGGGTGCATTTTACAATATAATCAACTAAAAGAAGAAATAGCCCTTCAAAATCTGAAAGAGTTTCCCTTGGTAAGCCCAAGTGGTCAGTATGGGTTAGAATTAGGTTACGTTGAGGGTTCGATTCCCTTCCGTTGTAACAAAAAGGAAAAAAAAAACTTGCCTAGAATTCAGGAGGTAGATTGATTGGAAAGTATGGTTATTTATTTTAAGAGAGAATTCTACAAATCTTAAAGAAAAGAAATTTGCCTAGAAGACATTTTAATCGTTCAAGACAGTATATTTAAGGTTATGGTACGGAGACAATGTATGCTATTGCTAACTAATTTTTCTTCTCTGAATGTTCTGTAATAATTGTGTTTCACTTAGAAAAAAAAAGGATTTTCATTGGGTATTAATTATTTTTCAATACTTGACACAGGGAAGTTACTTTTTTACTGCTAATGAAGACCCTTTTCTGCATCTCTCGGAGTAGGTGGAAAATACCATTTCTCATGAAGAGTGATTTGCAAAATTTCCCTAGAATAAAACCAGTGGTAAATTATCAGTCTAGTTTGTCCAATGTTAAAGACTCTAGTCTTTTTATCGGTCCAATGTTTAAGGTTGGAGTCTGTTAATATTATTCAATACTTGACACAGGGAAGTTACTTTTTTACTGCTAATGAAGACCCTTTTCTGCATCTCTCGGAGTAGGTGGAAAATACCATTTCTCATGAAGAGTGATTTGCAAAATTACCCTAGAATAAAACCAGTGGTAAATTATCAGTCTAGTTTGTCCAATGTGAAAGACTCTAGTCTTTTTATCGGTCCAATGTTTAAGGTTGGAGTCTGTTAATAATACAGACAGACAAAGTAAGCTGTTCTATCTTGAACTTATATCTTTTTAAATGTTCTTGTTTTGTGTTATATTTGGGTTACTTGGATTTCAGATGGAATTCTCAAATTCTAGTTCTAATAGCGGTTTTGAATTGTTGTCCTTGGAGTCATGTTCAGACCTTGATAATATTTTGTAATTAATACTCAATTTCTCACTACTTTAACTCAAGGTATATCCTCATAATCCTTCTCAATAATTAACATGTGCTCATTTGCATAATCATAGTTAACTCTTTGCTTTATATTTGTGGAACTATGGTTATGCTCATAGACACGTGTCAAGTGTTGAGAATGATGGTAATAATACACCTTGGGTTAGAGTGGTGAGCAAAAATATGTGTTTGTTGGATAAGTCTTTTAAACATAAATTAAAAAAGGCAAACAAAGTCTAGCACAATGAAAAAATGGCATTGACTTGCAGACCAGTGATTTCATGTTCGAGGTTCGAATTCTTTTGGCACGTTGGTTGTTTGTGTGAGAATCCCCCTCCCCTATAGTTTAAACTAGAGTTTTTCTATTTAAACCTCACATTTTTCTTTGTTTACCCCAATACTTAAATCATTAAGCTCTTAAGTTTTATTATTGTGTAAAAGGACAAAAAAGGTCATCCAACTTAATATTTAACCCTAGTACATCTATACACACATCCCAACACTCTTCATATTAAGTTTTAGAAAAATACAATCTTTGGGGGTTGAATTTCTCTATAAAGCAAATAAAGAGAGGAAAGTAAATAAAGATCTTCATATTATTTTTCTATCTCTGTAATAAAAATCTTTAGGTGGTTGAATTTTTCCATAAAGCAAATAAAGAGAGGAAAGTTTGGAACTTGGAAGAGTACATAAAGAAATAGCAATAAAAATGAAAGTCTGAAACCCCAAAAACACCATTTTTTTTTTTTTTTTTGGGTATAAACCATGAGGTGGTCCTGGATGGGCCCCAACTATGGGTGGCACCTTTAAGCCTTAACCACAACCTAGACTAATCCCCACTCACACCGGGTCCGCCTGTAAGGGGTAAAGTGTTGGCCAAAGTGGTGACTCCGTACGAGAGCAGGGATCGAACCCCTGACCTCTCTTAAGGAATGAGAGTGCCGAACCACTCACACTAACCACCTTGGTTTAGCCACTCTGTTTTTTAACTTGTAAAAAAATCAGTGTTCTTTAGTTTGTTTGCCAAATTGAAGATGAAATTGGACTATGTGTGTAAAAGTACGGCTTACTCATGAAAGAGGATATGAGTCTTGTTCTAGTTTCTTTGCCTCCCAACTCAACTACTTAAAACATATTATTTTTCTATCTCTGTAATAAAATTGTAGCTCTAGCTAGTGGTGAGGGACAAGATAGCGGGGTGTGGGGTGTGAGGTTGATGAGTTTTTATTTTTAATTTTTTTCTGCTATGTGTGTATTTAGGTGTAGTTTGGGAAGATATTGGGATTTTCTTAGAAATTGTGAACATTTAAATTAGAAGTTGGGGTGAACTTAGAGTATGGGGTGAACAAAGAGAAATGCAGGGTTTAAATAGAAAAACTCTTAAACTATAGCTAAACTTTTTTTTCTTAAAAAAAAAATTTGCAATTTTGTGTAAAACTCAATTACCAAAAAAATATTGAACTTTAATAAATAATTTAAAAATAAAATATTGACTTTCGTGAAGCGTGACATGAGACTATTAAAAAAAGTAAACTAGTAACTACTGGTAGCGCAAGAGAAAAACACTAACTCCGAGTGTTTCATCAAATTTAACAGAAGAAGCACAATGCTCTGCAAAACTACTCATCAAAGTCAACAGAAGAAGAGAGGAATTCTTGGTGTGAAAGGAAAGTAAGTCAATGGTCCACAAGTCATGCCAACACTCCCCTTCACGTTGGTGCATAGATGTTGCTAATGCCCAACTGATCCAGTGAATTGTGGAATGCTTTACTGGAAATATTTGAGTCCACCTAGATTTTTTATCTCAAATTCAATAGCCAAATAGTCTTGTAACTGAGATATTTCATGTTTCTCGTTCCTAGTAATAATCATGTCGTCAACATAGATTATTAAAGGTGTTAGCTTCCCTTTCTGATGTTTCAAGAATAGAGTATGATTTGAGTTACTATATCTGAAACCATTGTTCTTCATTGCCATGATGAATCGCCCAAACCATGCACATGGTGACTGTTTCAGTTCATATAACGTCTTTCGTAATTTGCATACTGTTCCAGTCTGAGTAGTATTATATCCAGGAGGAATGTCCATATACACCTCTTCCGTGAGTTCTCCATGTAGGAAAGCATTCTTTACATCAAACTGGTGTAGTGGCCAGTCCAAATTAGCTGCGAAGGACAGTAAGACTCTGACTGTGTTCAATTTTGCAACTGGTGCAAAAGTTTCTTCATATTCTACACCATAAGTCTGTGTGTACCCTTTTTTGGTATAAACAAGGTGATTGTAGCCCCTAACTTTATAGACTGCTCAATTTTCATGATTTACAATGAAGGAAAATTGGGTTTTGCCCAAATTGGAAATGAGAAGCTCACACTCATCAATGACCAAATTTCTGATTACGATGATTTGATTGTGTACAAGGGTCAGCCTTGTGTTATTAACAAATGGGGTCAAATTTTTAGGATCAATTCGTCTCTGGAATTGGTTCCTTTTTCGCCTCCTATTGGTTTTGGTTGCAGAAAGAATTTGATTGAGTGTTGTGGAGAGCTTTACGTGGTGGATAGGTACCTTGATGTTAATCAGCAAGATCAAACATCACTAAAAATTCATGTTCGTAATGCTAGTTTTAATTTTTTTCGTCGCCATCCTCTTCGTCGTCGAAGAATCTATGAAACCGATCAGCCCAAGGCAATTGATTTCAAGGTCTATAAGTTGGGTGATGAAGAGTTGGGGGGTAGATGGGTTGAAGTGAAGAGCTTGGGGGATCAAGCTTTCTTCTTGAGTGTTGATTGCTGTTTCTCTGTTTTGGCTGCAGAGTTGGAGGGGTGCAAAGGGAATTGCATTTACTTCACAGATTCAAATGACATTAGTTTCGCGTTGAAAGAGTTGATCAGATCAGATGGGTCTGTTTTCAGCTTGGAAGATCATAGCATTAATTGGCTCAGTTCTTCCCCTGTTTATTCTCAGATGTTTTGGCCACTCCCAGCTTAATTATCCTTTGGATTAATGTAAGTATACATATGATTATGTTGTTTTTATATACTCTTAACAAGCTTACTTGACAAACAAGCTTTCTGGTACTTGTTCTTAATTGATAAACAAGCTTTAGTTGTTTTTCCCCTAATATTCTGTATATGTTAATTACTTATGAGGTTCTTGTGTCACTATGAAAAGGAAAAGGATTATTTGTTCTTTTTTTGGTTTTAATTATTTTGCTAGAATCTAAGGTATATTAATTTCAAAGCGTGCCAGAATCTAAGGTATGTTAATTGGTAAATGATTTTCCCACTCCCCTTTTATCCACCTACACTCCTTTCTATTTAGAAAAAGGGAGTGTAAGTGGATAACAAGGGAGTGGGATGTCGGGTTTGGATGATCGATCGTTTCTGTACATAGGTGAATTTCTTCGTTTTCCAAGTTGCTCCAATTTTGCTCTTCACTTCGTATCTCTCCCTGATGCATAGAATTGGATGATGGGTCATGAAAGAACATCTCATATTCCAAAAAGGTCACATCCAAAGTGACATAGGTACGTCGAGTATGAGGGTGATAACAACGGTAGCCTTTCTGATGAGTGGCATAACACACAAAAACACAACGAAGCACACATGGATCAAATTTGGTACGTTAATTTTTGTGAAGATGAATAAAGACCAAACATCCAAAGATTCGAGGTGGGAGTACCAAAACAGAGTACATGCCGTATTGCACAAACACTTGTAAGGTAGTTTTAAAGGTAAAGTGACTTTTGTGAAGCGTTGACATGAGACTTTAAAAAGGTGAACTAGTAACTACTAGTAACGCGAGAGGAAAAAAAAACTAACTCCGAGTGTTTCATCAAATTTAACAGAAGCTTCCTTAAATCTTCATTATGTTCTATTTTAATCAAGTATTACTGTGATAAAAAGATACTGGTCGACAAGTTCCATTTGAATCTGTGAAGTAATTGCAATTACCTTTCCACCCCTCCAACTCTGTATTTTTAATATAATTTTGTGGACATAAGCACTGAGTACCAGTAAATTGATTGTGCATTTCCAAAGTTGCTACTGATGATTAAAGGCCAAGCACTAATTGAGAGCCACATAATTTTGCAGGCACTTTAAATAATAAGTTTACTGTCAAAGGACATAATCAACAAGCTGTATTTCACTAGTTTGAGAACATCATTTTCAATTTCTTTTTACAATTATCTGAGATTTTACAAATTATCAATCTAAGATTTTTATACCAAAACTGTCTGGTTGCATAATTGCATTGCCTAAAGGAGGAGAGAGAGTCTCTGTTTCATCCTTCTTTTTCCTTTCTCTCTTCTGTGAGAGTTTTTTTTACATCTTCTGGTTGGTGTTCCATTTCTTCTCATTTTTTCTTCCTCTCCCTACCTGTCTCTTTGAATCTCCAATCTCACTTCTTCCCATCCCTCTTATCTCCCTCATCTCTGTTCCCTCTTATCTTCGAGCACCCCCATCTATCCATTACACCTCCGTCTCAAGTTCTCTTCTTTCCTTATGTTTGACTTGCTAGTGTCTTGGCTTGTTGTGGCAGCTACTTTCTGCTAAAATATGAAACCTAATATGAGAGTATTTGTTCGTGGGAATTTTCTATGTATTCATCTCTTTGTAGGAGGTCATATTTATAATATAACGAAACTTTTAATGGGCAAGTAAATAATAAATTCATATTTCTATTTACAATAGGAAATAAAGATTTAAAGTAAATCAATTACAATTATAATAGGAATTCTTGGTGTGAAAGGAAAGTAAGTCAATGGTCCACAAGTCATGCCAACACTCCCCTTCACGTTGGTGCATAGATGTCGCTAATGCCCAACTGATCCAGTGAATTGTGGAATGCTTTACTGTAAATATTTGAGTCCACCTAGATTTTTCATCTCAAATTCAATAGCCAAATAGTCTTGTAACTGAGATATTTCACGTTTATCATTCCTAGTAATAATCATGTCGTCAACATAGATTATTAAAGGTGTTAGCTTCCCTTTCTGATGTTTCAAGAATAGAGTATGATTTGAGTTACTATATCTGAAACCATTGTTCTTCATTGCCATGATGAATCGCCCAAACCATGCACATGGTGACTGTTTCAGTTCATACAATGCCTTTCGTAATTTGCATACTGTTCCAGTCTGAGTAGTATTATATCCAGGAGGAATGTCCATATACACCTCTTCCGTGAGTCCTCCATGTAGGAAAGCATTATTTACATCAAACTAGTGTTGTGGCCAATCCAAATTAGCTGCGAAGGATAGTAAGATTCTCACTGTGTTCAATTTTACAACTTGTGCAAAGCTTTCTTTATAATCTACACCATAAGTCTGTGTGTACCCTTTCACCACAAGTCTTGCCTTGTATCACTCCATAGATCCATCAACATTGTGTTTTATGGTAAACATCCATCTACATCTGACAGTTTTTTTTCCTTATGGTAAAATTTCCAATGTCCAAGTATGATTCTTCTCAAGAGCTTTCTCCTTTATAGCTTGAACCCACTTAGGATCTTTCAATGCTTCAGCAACCTTAGTTGGGATACAATTGATGCATAAAGGCCTTGAGTGGTTCAGACAGCTTCTCAATGGATATATGATTCGCAATTGGATACTTTGATGTCTTGCCAATATCAGGTGAATAACGGTTTGGTGGCTTCCCACGATTTTTCCTGAAAGGTGATTGGTATCCAATAGATTTATCCTCTAAATTCACAAGTGTGATAGGAGTAGTTACCTCAAGGATATTCTCATGAGATTGGTCCGTTAGTACTATTGAGTTAGAAGGGGGGTCTTCATCTTGTCGTTCTGTATTGTCTGTAGGTGTGGGACTCGGACTAAAAACATCTTCACAGGGGTCAAGCAGGTCAGGAAATTGATCACTGTGAATAGGGGATTGACCACTGTGAATAGTCTTGCCTTCTTCATTTTCCAAATTGTTCCAATTCTGCTCTTCACTTTGTATCTCCCCATGAAGCGTAGAATTGGATGATGGGTCATGAAAGAACATCTCATATTCCAAAAAGGTCACATCCAAAGTAACATAAGTACGTCAGGTATGAGGGTGATAACATCAAAATGAGGACCATGTAGAGCTGCTGCAGATTCTACAAGTGCGAGACAATAGAGGCAAGCCATGATGATGATGAAGATGAAGATGAAGATGAAGAAGTTGAAGAAGAAGAAGAAGTTTTTTTTTTTTTTTTGGTTTTTTTTTCTTTTGGGTTTTTTTTTTTTTTTTTTTTTTTTTTTTTTTTTTTGAAAAACCTCGCGTACGAGGAGAGAATACTCATAATAACAAAGTAGAAGGACGAGGGGGGCGAAAAGCCTGACCTCGAGTACAACTATCGACATCAAGGGCGTCCTGAATAAAATCAGGGGGCACCTCGACCCACTCACATGGGTGCGAACAGTTAACAGCAAATTTAGCTAAACAATGAGCTACACCATTGGCCTCACGGCGAACGGTGAGTAAACTAGTAACTACTAGTAACGCGAGAGGAAAAAAAAACTAACTCCGAGTGTTTCATCAAATTTAACAGAAGAAGCACAATGCTCTGCAAAACTACTCATCAAAGTCAACAGAAGAAGAAGCACAAGGCCGCCATGGATGGCAGCAGCAGCGGAGTCGACTGGACCAATCTTCCACCCCAACTCTACCAACTCATCGCTCAAAACCTCAAAACCCACATCGAAGTCCGACGATTCCGCAGCGTCTGCAGCTCCTGGCGTTCTTCCATTCCTCCTTTCTGCGCCTCCATATCTCCCAATTTCCCTTTCCCCCACGGGCCCACTGGCTTCCTCTCCCAAATCACCGTCTACCTCACCCGACCCGACACGGATCCGGATCCGAATCCGAATCCTTCCTCGTCGTCCTCATCGCCTTCATCCAAGGGCTGGTTGCTGAAGCTCGAAGAGTGCGCGGACAAGATTCGCCTTCTGAATCCGATAACCAACTGGCGGGTCAGCTCTGTAAACGACGACGTTGCAAGAAATCCAACGGATTTGAACCTGGTGGACCTTAACATGGTGGAGCTGGGCAAAGCATATGCGCTGAGATACACAAAGGGGTCTGGTTCCATTTTTGGTATAAACAAGGTGATTGTAGCCCCTAACTTTATAGACTGCTCAATTTTCATGATTTACAATGAAGGAAAATTGGGTTTTGCCCAAATTGGAAATGAGAAGCTCACACTCATCAATGACCAAATTTCTGATTACGATGATTTGATTGTGTACAAGGGTCAGCCTTGTGTTATTAACAAATGGGGTCAAATTTTTAGGATCAATTCGTCTCTGGAATTGGTTCCTTTTTCGCCTCCTATTGGTTTTGGTTGCAGAAAGAATTTAATTGAATGTTGTGGAGAGCTTTATGTGGTGGATAGGTACCTTGATCAACAAGATAAAAAATCAAAAGGACCTCCTCTTCATAATGCTAGTTTTAATTTTTTTCTTCGCCATCCTCTTCGTCGTCGTCGAAGAATCTACGAAGCCGATCATCCCAAGGCAATTGATTTCAAGGTCTATAAGTTGGGCGATGAAGAGTTGGGGGTCAGATGGGTTGAAGTGAAGAGCTTGGGAGATCAAGCTTTCTTCTTGAATGTTGATTGTTGTTTCTCTGTTTTGGCTGCAGAGTTGGAGGGGTGCAAAGGGAATTGCATTTACTTCACAGATTCAAATGACATTGGTTTTGCATTGAAAGAGTTGATCAGATCAGATGGGTCTGTTTTCAGCTTGGAAGATCATAGCATTAATTGGCTCAGTTCTTCCCCTGTTTATTCTCAGATGTTTTGGCCACTCCCAGCTTAATTATCCTTTGGATTAATGTAAGTATACATATGATTATGTTGTTTTTATATACTCTTAACAAGCTTACTTGACAAACAAGCTTGCTGTATATGTTAATTACTTATGATGTTCTTGTGTCCCTAGGAAAAGGAAAAGGATTCCTTTTTTCCCTTTTTGGTATTAATTATTTCTCAACTTGATCTTCACAGGGAACTTGCTTACTGCTTACAGGGGAGAGAGGCTGGAGGTTCCAATTTCTCATGAAGAGAGATATGTAAAATTATCCACAGTGTAATCTAGTGTTGTTATGGATTTGTAAATTATACACATTTATGTAATGTAAGGGCATTCTCTCTTGAAATTGTATCTTTGTATGTTATTGTTTAATGTTATGTTGATTTCAAAAGGAATTCTTAAATATTTTCTCTGCTTTAAAGCTTCAACTTTCATTGCCCAACTGTAACTAAATGGAAAAGATTAAAGTATTTTCTCTGGTTAATGATGTATCTTTTTGGTAAATGAGTATTAATGGTATTTTTTTTTTCTGGTAAGTGAGTGCTGAATGCTAATGGTATTTTTTTGGTAAGTGAGTGTGAATGGTATTTTTTTGTTTCTGGTGAGTTAAGTGCTAATGGTAATTTTTTCTGGCAAATGACTGTAAATGGTATTTAATTTTGGCAAGAGACTTGTAAGAGGCACACTGGGACAGGGAAGCAACTTTGCCTATTCAAGTGACAGACAAGACAACTCTGTGTAGTCTGGATTTGTCCAGAAATGGAAAACAACCTTATCTAGTTTCTTACCTTAAAAGAAAACAAATACATGATTCTAGAATATCAAATTTTGACGTCATTATTTACCACATTATCAATTTTAACTTTTTTATTTTATTTTTTTGGAATGAACTCAAATTTTTTATAATTCAAATAGTTCCTTGCTCTATCTCCTTTGCATCTCACCCTCCTTCACTCATCCACTTGGACGGATGACAGTCGCCGTCGGTTATGATTTCGACCAATTATCAACGTGGAGGGAAGTGAGAACCTTTGTTTGAAGTTAGACTTTGTAAATTTTGTCACTCTTAAAAGCAAAAAATAAAATAAAATAAATAAATAAGCATATCGGTTTCCGGCCATTTATCGATAACCAATCAAAATCTTACACGTTAGAGGAAGGAACTACATTTATTTGTTAAAACATTACTAAACCAAACATCGAATTATCTTAAAAGGTCTCAAAAAACATTCATTCTTTGTTGGTTGAGTTGATTAGCAGGCTAACTCGCTAACTAATCTCCCGACCGGAGTAATGCTCCGGTTCGGGAGCAAAATTCCAGATTATTTGATGACTAAATTTGAGAAAAACAAATTTGTTTACCCTAGAATTGCAGTATAAAAGGATTATGTTCTTGGACAATGGTCCTACCATCACCTCTGCCTCCTTGACTGAAACTCTCACTATCTCTCTTTCTGCATGTCATCATCTGTCAGCAGAAACAGAGGTCCTACCATGGATTCCAAAGCCCCCTGTTCAGTGGACTGGTCCAAACTCCCAGATGAGCTCTGGCCCCGGATCGGCCAGCAGCTCATACCTTTCATCGAACGGCTGCGATTTCGCAGCGTCTCCTACTCCTGGCGCCATTCCATTCCCCGATTCCACCCTTCCATTCCTCCAGAATTCCCATACCCATTCTCCTTCCACTCGAAAGCCTCCCTCGCCCGAACCACTCTCTACCTCCTCCGAACCAACCCATTTCCTTACGCCTCCACGTCATCACCATCCACATCATCATCTTCCCCAAAGGGCTGGCTCCTGAAACTAGAAGAGTGCAACCAGAACCTGCGCCTTCTTCACCCCATCACCAACCGCCAATTGAGGTGCGGGGAGGACTTTTTCCCAGAGCACCTGAACTTTGTAAATTATAAGATGGTGGAGCTGGGCCAAGCCTACGCTCTCAAAAACTCAGCTGGCTCTGCTTACGTTGATCGCGTGAGCAAAGTCATTGAGCTCCCTCACTCTGAACCCTGCTCAATTCTCGTCATTCACCACAAAGGAAAACTGGGTTTTGCTCAGACTGGCGACGAGCGTTTGAGAAGCATCGGCAATCGGTTTTCTAGTTACAGTGATCTGATTGTTTACAAGGGCCGGCCGTACGTTGTGGACAAATGGGGCACGGTTTTCCGGGTCGACCAGGCTCTGAGAGTGGTTCAATTCGCGCCTCGGTTGGTCTGTTTTGGGCACAAGAAGCATCTGGTCGAGAGCTGCGGAGATCTTTATCTGGTTGACAGGTACATGGTGGCGGACCCGAATGCAAGACCAGACCCGATTACCAGTTTCTATCGTTTTATTCGGCATCAAGGGAATGGTTGGCCTGATGCAATCGACGAGTGTCCGCTGATCACCGTTAATTTCAGGGTTTATAAGTTGGATCAAGAGAGGGGGAGATGGGATGAAGTGCAGAACTTGGATGACCAAGCATTCTTCTTGAACGTTGATTTTTCGTTCTCTGTTTCGGCTGAAGACATTGTTGGGTGCTCAAGGAACTGCATTTACTTCTCCGATCACCGGGAGAATCCTCTGGCGCTGAGAAGCTTGAGCGCTGTTGGGGATGGTTCGGTTTTCAACTTGGCAGACCATAGCATTAGCGTTGTAAATGCTGCAGGAGCTCCATTCTTCGCCGAGATATATTGGCCTTCCCTGCCTTAGCTTCTGTAAGCAATTGCTCTGCTTTCTCCCTCCTTGTGGTTTTTTGTTTGTTTTTGTGTTTGATTGCTTCTTGACATGATCTTGACAGGTGAGGTGTGAGAGAGCTCTGGAGTTTCAGAGATTTGGAGGTCCTGCCATGACATGTTATCAGAAAAACCAGGGCTCGCAGGAGTGCAGTTAAGGAGAGAACTTATGGAACAGTTTCAGTCAGTTTTTAAGTTAATTTGAACTGGAAGTCTATGAATTTCAAGTTCCCAATTATATTAGCATGGGATTTTATGCTTATTATCTTTTGTTATTCTGAATGAAAAACAACAATCAATTGACTTTATGCTTATTATCTTTTGCAATCAGGAAGAAATGATCAATTATAAATAGGTGTTTGACTCCATTGTTTCATAACTATTATTCTCTCTATCTCCCCATATTTTGTAGACATAGGACTTAGGTTTTCGAATGTAATTGCTAGCTTATTTGATTTGGTTGTCATAACAAATTTTTGTATGTTGGCTTGAGTTGGGTGAATTGTTAGGCTCTTTTTTTTTTTTTTTATTACATTGGGAGGAAAGAAATCCATTGAGTTTCGAACCCGAGTGTCAAGCAAGGGGGAAGGGAGAGGCCACCACTGTGGTACCTTCTCTCGACAATTATTAGGCTCTTTAGTTATGCATAAGTGTTAGATCTTGTTTGGATTAAGTCGTTCTCCATTTTGAGTAATGTAGTAATAGTAAAGTGGTTATGGACTCAGTAGCTCCATGTCACATGTTATTTACAAAAGAAAATATCTTTCTAATCTAAGAATTTGATTTATTTCATTGTTGGAGAGTTTCTAATTTCTCTATGCAATTATCTCCATCTCTTCAATTTTTTTCTTTAAATATGCATATTTCTTTCTCTAATTTTCTTTTCTTATTTAGAACTATATCCTCTCCATATTTCAAATCTCATCTCTCTCACACATTGTATAATTTCTCCTCTCACACACCAACTCTCTCTCTCTCTCTCTATTTTTTTTTCAAATCTCGTCACGCCCACTGCTTTGTTTCATACCTTAACACTCTCTCTATCTCTCCATATTTTTTAGACTAGAACTTAGGTTTTCCAATGTGTTTGTTGTTGCTAGCTTAATTTGATTCGGTTGTCAGAACAAATTTTTGTATGCTGGCTCTTGAGTTGAATTGATGGGATCCTTAGTTATGCATAAGTGTTGGATCTTGTTTGGATAAGCTCGTTCTCCATTTTGAGTTATGTAGTAACAGTCCATGTCACACGCTATCTACAAAATAAAATATCTTTCTAATCCAAAATTTTGATTTATTTCAATGTCAGAGACTTTTTAATTTCTCTCTGCTCCCAATAATTGTCCTTCACTTCCAACTTTGCCCCATGAATTTTCCTTAATCTCTTTGAAAATCTTTAAAACGTTGACACGAAATAAACAAGGGATCGATGTTTTTGAAATTCTGTGAATAGGTGTGGAGATCAAATTCTTGGGTGGTGTTCAAGATCATCATATTACTTCGGCCTAATTTTGATCCCCCCCCAAAAAAAAACTTTCGGTTTCGGCCTAATTTGACCCCAAAAATAAAACTTTGCCTAAAAGACGAAAACACCCATCATAATTATTACAGCCCAATGGGTAAACCCAGAAAGAAATGCCATTGCTACATTACAGGCCCAGTTATAGACGGCAGCCCCATTTTTTTTGACCGTTGAGCTTAGATTTTTATCGAAAATATAAAAAAGAATTTGAACTGATCATCTCTCTCTCTCCCTCTCTCTCTCTCTGAAATTGCTCTCTTTCTCACTGTCTCTCAGGTTCTCAGCCCTCTTACCGGTGGTGAGGCACAAATCTTTATTTATTTTTCCACATTTTCTAATTTCGCCTAAATTTTCGTTTGATTTGTATCTGAAACTCTTTTTTTCCTTAATTTTTCGTTAGATTTCTTCTGATCGGTTGGTCACTCCGTCAGAAGAGTTCCGAAAATTTGGTGATTTTCAAGGTATGGTTTCTCTCTCTCTCTCTCTCTCACAGTGGGCGTGATTTGGATTAGTAGCTTTGATATATTGTGGCTTGTGTATCCGAGAACTGATTTTGAACTGCAATGTGTCTTCTTGAATGATTTAGACAACATTCTTGACTTTCTCAAGCTGCCTTTTGCTGTATGAGATTTGATTTGATTACGAAACAGAGTTTTGCGATGTGAAAATATATGTCTGTGTTTGAAGATGTGATTTTTATCTTAAATGTTTCTGTAATTCAATGGATAACTAGGAGTTGAATGCTAACTATGTGTGAATAATGGAAATGGGTTTTTAACTTTGCTTCTTGAAATTAATTTTGTCTCTACATTCTACAAATCTAAACTATCTTGTTCATTGTTTTATCAGGTTATGAAGTTAAGAATTATCTTCTGACTTCCTCACGCAGACCACGCTGTGTCTTCGTTCCAGGTTCTATCGTTCTGACTTCTTTCGCTGTGATTTCTTTTACTGTGAAAATGCTTCCTATGAAATCACTGGGATATGACAAATGCAGAAATAAGAGAAAAATTAAACATGTTGATGATTTAGGAGATCATGTTGAAAATGATGATGTCTCTAATTTAGTCAATGAACAACCTCCTCAGTCCATTCCCTTGGACATTTATGATCCAAGTAATTGGGAGAATCTCAATACAAAACTGAGAGATCTATTAGTTGAAAAAGGGCCTAGAAGAGATCTTTTTGGGGAGAAAGGCCCAAAAGATAAATCCTCTAGATGTTTCTCTTCAACATTTTACACTCGTTATTTACCAAATGGAGAGAAACGTGATAGAGAATGGCTAGTTTATTCAAAGGATGTTGATAAAGTATTTTGTTTTTGTTGCAAGTTGTTTAAACGTTTGTCGCTAAAATGTCAGTTAGCAAATGAAGGATATGGAGACTGGGAACAACTTAGTCTTTTGCTCAAAGAACATGAAACAAGCATTGAGCACATCTTTCACATGATCACTTGGAAGGATGTGCGTCTTACATTGGAGAAAAATGAAACGGTGGATAAAATAGTTCCTGACAAGATTAACCAGGAGAAACAACACTGGAGAAATGTGTTGCCAAGAATCATTTCAGTTGTGAAATTTCTTGTTAAACATAAGTTCACATTCTTTGGAACAAATGACAGGATTTATCAAAATTATCGTGGAAATTTTTTTACCCAAATTGAAATGATTGCAGTCTGGGATCAAGTAATGCAAATGCACATTGGACGTGTTCAAAACAATGAGATTCGTTGTCATTATCTAGGTCGTAACATTCAAGAATTGATAATTTTGTTAGCTTCTGAAATCAAAAGTGCAATCATAAAAAAAATTAAGGAAGCAAAGTATTTTTCTGTGATTCTTGATTGTACTCTTGATTCAAATGACGAAAAACAAATTTCTTTGTTGTTACGATCTGTAGATGTTTCTACAAGTCCAATAAAAATAGAAGAGTACTTTTTAGGGTTTTTAAATGTGTGTTCAGGCCAAGGACTTTTTGAAGAATTGCGAAGTGTGTTAAAATCTCTTGACCTTAATCTGGACGATGTAAGAGGACAAGGATATGATCATGGATCTAATGTGAGAGGGAGAGACCAAGGTGTACAGAATAAGCTTTTAGATATAAATCGTAGAGCATGGTACATGCCATGTGGTTGTCATAGTCTAAACTTAACACTTTGCGACATTGTAGACTCTTGTAGTGAAGCAAAATCTTTTTTTGGAGTGATACAAAATATTTATACATTGTTTTCTCATTGTTCAAAGTGTTGGAAAATTTTGGAAGATAATGTAAAAGGTTTAACTCTTGAGCAATTAACGATCTCACATTATGAGAGTGAAATTGAAAGTGTTAGAGCAATAAGATTCCATGCTCTAGAAGTAAGAGAAGCTTTACTTCAATTAGCAGAAACTGTGTCTGACCTCAAAGTGAGGTGCCAAGCTCTTTCTTTAGCAACATATGGATTTGATTTTGAGTTTTTATTACGCATGATTATTTGGTTTGACATACTCTCTGTTGTTGACTCTGTTAGCAAATACTTAGAATCTAAAGACATGCTTATTGATGTTGCTATAGATGAGGTAAAAAGGCTGATTAATTTCTTTGAAGAATATAAAGAAACAGGGTTTACACAGGCCATGACTGTTGCTAAAGGAATTGCTACTGAAATGGAAATTGATTATGTGTTTAATGAAACTTGTAAAACCCGTAGAAAGAACCATGCTGAGAATGTCAATGAATCATCTCCTGAATCTGTTGAAGAATCCTTTAGAATTCATTATTTCTTACATATAGTGGATCAAGTTATAGGTTTATTGAAGAGAATGTTTGAACAGTTTCAGGCGTATGAGGATGTTTTTGGGTTCTTGTTTAGTTCAGAGAAGTTAAATTCATTGGATGATAATAATTTGAAATCTTGTTGTGGTCATCTTGAATTCAGTCTAAAGCATGGAAAATCTTGTGATGTTGATGGAAATGATTTATTTGAAGAACTAAAATTCTTACAAGGGAATTTACCAAAAGAAAAAATGACAGCCCTTGAAATACTAAATTTCATAAAAGAACTAGGTCTTCCAAATGCATGCATTGCTTATAGAATATTATTGACTTTTCCTGTTACATTGGCCTCTGCAGAAAGTAGTTTTTCAAAATTGAAGTTACTAAAATCTTACTTGCAATCGCCAATATCGCAAGAAAAATTAGATGGACGAGATTTGATTTCTGTTGAAAATGATCTTCTGGAAAATATTGATTATGAAAAATTTATCAATGATGTTGCAACCAAAATTGCAATAAGAAATGCTTCACATTGATACTTTGATGCTCTCGCTAGTTATTGTTTTTTTTACTTTTTCTGCAGGTTTGCACTCATTGACTTGCTGGGGAGATTGAAGATGGTTAATTCTTCTTTGGGAGAGCAGTCACGTTTATTTCATCTTTGGAAGTGACAGATCGCATTTTTCAACATATGGTGTTGGTTGGTAGTCACAGGAAGTTTTGGTAGCTGTCTGTAGCTGAAAGTGTCAAGGTTGTCAAATTCAAGATTTTAAAGTTCAGTTCACATATGGAAGAGAGCATCTGGGTGAAAAGTCAAGTGTTGTGGGTGTTCGGTGGTGATTATCTTTCTCTGCTTTTGTTCAAGAGTTCACAAGATTTAAGGGGTATTGCGTTAGTTTCACCAATTCCCAGATCATACACTGTTTCTGAAAATCGTGTTGAACCAAGATGATTATTGAGCCACATTGGAGGATGGTATCACTAGCAGTCTAGCTGTGTGTGGCAGATGTTCCGTTAACTCAGGATGAGACCTTTCTACGTTTTAGTTTCACGGCATTTATAATTGCAGAACACGTTGCTTCAGCTTGAATATCTTATCTGAAGATTTTCTTTGGTTCATGTTTGTTTAGAGCTTAGACAACTAGAGCAGATTGTAGCACTTTCTGACTCAATAATATCCTGATATTAACGTCATACCTCTATTTTGCTTCTTCTATGCGGTGTTTTTTATTTTTGTACAAGTCCCTCTTCTTCCCCGCCCCCCTCCTTTCTCCAATCAAATATGGAAGTTTTGGATATATAAATTTAGAGTGAAAACTTGCCAATTCTCGTAGGATTCACTTTGAGATATAAGAGCTAAGATTTCTCAATGAGAAAACAAAAAAGTAAAAAAAAAGAACTGATTGTTTTCAATGACTTGCTTGCTGCGCAAGACATCAATCATTCAAGAATCCCAATTCTCATAGGACTATTTCTGCTTCACGAGGACATTAAATAACCCCTCTGCCCTATATATTCTTAAACATAAAACAACATACAATTATAAAATATTAAGGATGGCGAGCAGAATGCCAGATGAATTATGGGAGAGCATCGGCATGCGCCTCAACACAAAGACCGACGTTTCTCGATTTCGTGCTGTGTGTAAGTCATGACGATCCTCTCTTCCTCTTTTTGCAAAACAGTTCCCTTTGCAATTCCCCATCCAAGTCGTCATTAAGAAGTACTCTTTTTGCAAAACAGTTCCCTTTAATACTATAATAGCAGGAGACCGACCTCTATAAATCTTTGGTTTCCCTTCTTTGATACCTAGGAAAATGAGGAAAAAACTAAATATTTATTTTTGTTTAAGTTTTTTTTTTCTTTTCTCCTCCAACTTTTCTACCATCAACATCAAATATGGAATTTGTGGATGCAAAAGTTATTGAGTGAACTTCCAATTCTCATAGGTATCGTTTTGAGATATAAGAGCTAATTTTTCTCAATGACACAAAAATAAAAAAGGAAAGCTAACTGGTGGCCTTGACTTGCTTGTTGCGCAATAAACGAGTCATTCAAGAATCCCAATTCTCATAGGACTTTTTGTCCTTCACCAGCGCATTAAATAACCCTACTCCTCTTCCGGAGCATCCTATATATTATTGTTGAACATAACAAACTATATAAGGCTGTCCTTCACCAGCGCATTAAATAACCCTACTCCTCTTCCGGAGCATCCTATATATTATTGTTGAACATAACAAACTATATACAAGGTGGATCACCACCATAATTACTAGGGATGGCGAGCAAAATACCAGATGATATATTAGAGAGAATTGGTAAGCGTCTCAACACAAAAACTGGTGTTTCTCGATTTCGTGCGGTCTGTAAGTCATGGAGATCCTCTCTTCCTCCCTTTGCAAAACAGCTCCCTCTGCAATTCCCCATCCAAGTTGTTGCTGAGAGAACCAGCTTCACCCTCACCGAGAGCGTACTCTATCATCTTGCACCTCCCGCCGGCGATCCCTGCGAAAGGGGTTGGTTGATTTATGTCAGAGAAGGAGAATGGGGCGAAAATCATCATATGCTGCATCCACTCTCCCAGTTTATGATAAAGCAGTTGCCCGACTCATATCCAAAGTTAATCAACTTACTGGAATATCGGGTATTTGAGGTGGCCAAAGTATATAGCCTACATTTAAGGGATCGATTTCGATGGTTTCCTAATAGGGTGGCCATGTCCTTAAATCTCGATTTCCCTTCGATCATGATGGTGAGAATGGGAAGATTATACTATGGAAAATTAGGCGTTGACGGTAAAAAGTGCATCGAAGTCTCTCGGTTGGGTGGTGAACACTCGTTTTATGAAGATGTTATTTTTTATCAAGGAAAGTTCTATGCTATTTGCCGGAATGGAACAGCCGTAGTGGTTGATTCTTCTCTTGATGTGACGGTGATCGCGTCTCGAATAGAAGATGTTTTTGGCCTCAATCCCAAGAAGTATTTGGTGGCACCAAATTTGGTGGAGTCATCCGGGGAGTTGCTTTTGGTTCATAGATATTGGGATACAGAACAATTCCCTTCTTCTGGTTCTTCATCAGAAGATTCTGATTCTTCATCAGATTCAGTAGATTTTTATTCTTTTGATGAAGATTCTTCTAAGAAGCTGTCGTGGGCGCAAGTAGATCCAAGTACTCTTGTGGCCAGAGAAATACTTCGTCAAAGGGCGGCAGCACGGGCCCCCGTTCATGGTGAAGATTCTTCTGATTCTGACTATGCAGACAAGCCGCCCATGACTACTGACCTTATTAAATTCAAGGTTTTCAAGTTGGATGCAGAAGAGAAACAATGGGTTGAGGCTGACGCGGAAGCTTTGCGTGATCGAATATTGGTGGTGGGGCGCAACCGCTGCTTGTCTGTTTCTACTGGAGATTTCCCAGGGTGCAGGGGGAGCTGCATTTATTTCTATGATCATTATAATCGCACAAACGCGTTAGGAAGAGGAAGCATGTTGAGCCAAACTGGAGTGTTCTGCTTAGATTCTGGCACTTGCTTACCGCTAACAGATTGTCCAAATTTTCACAACATCTTTTGCCCACCCCCAACTTGGACTTGGTTGCCAAGCCAACAACAAAGGAAAAGGAAACAACAAGACTTGGATTTGGACATGAATTTGGAAGCAGGGAAAAGAAAGAAACAAAAGAAAAGGACTTGAACGTGTGCATGAGTTGGGCTGTTGATCCATGTTAAGTTTAAAATTTCATATTTTTGTTACAAGTACTTCATTCTTTTTCCTCCAACTTCCCTGCAATTGACAATTGTATCACTTGAAATGTGCAGCTTAAAATTATTTATTTTCTATCCCTCAAATTATATGCCAGGTTGCAGCATGTTTACACCATAATTAACCGAGCATGCCCAGCCTTAAAACAACTAGCACCAAGGCAGACTTGCCTTCTCCCCTGCCGAAGGAAGACACTCTTCCAAGGTGCCAGACACCTGCCAAGGCTCCCGACTGCTGAAGGTCCTAATTGCTGAACCTAATCTCAAGGACACGTGTCGCCACCACAGCGCTTGGACATAGTCCCACATCGGAAATCTACACAAACCTCCCATTTTCACTTCCTTATAAGTGGGGAACAATACCCTGGTAAAAGGGGGAACTGAATTCTCACTCTTACTGTTACTCTGTCAAAATTACCACTTATAGCTGACTCAAGCATCGGAGAGCCTTCGGCCGGCACCACACCGGTGTCCGAAGCTCAACGACTGTTTCTTCCACTTTGTCTTTTGCAGGGTACCTAGCTACTGAAGGTCCTAGCCACCTAAACTGCTGAAGACCCAAGTCTTTTACCTAAGTTGACCCTCTCCCAAGAAGAGCATCAACACAGCAGATCATAAGAAACCCAACAGATCTTCAACCAATTACAATATGAGATTTTTACAAAACCAGGGTTTATGTATGTATTATGTAGGCAATACATAACTCAATAGTCATTAATTCTACAGCCAAACTTTCTAATTCTCAGCTGATTCCCCCGCGGTCAATGTCCTGGTCATTGGCCATAGAAGATTGCACTATGGAAGATTAGACGTTCTTTTTCACAAAGGAAACTTCTATGTTGTCTGCCAGGACGGAAAAGCCTTCGCAGTTGATTCTTGTCTGAATGTGACAGCAATTGCGTCTGCGGTAGCTTGTTCTGCCGGCTGTCACAAGAAGAATTTGGTGGAGTCATCCGGGGAGCTGCTTTTAGTTGATAGATGTCCGCCTTTCATGTCTTGCAGCACAAGTAAGCTCGAATTCAAGGTTTTCAAGTTGAATGCCGTTGAGAAGAAATGGATTGAGGTGGATAGGGTAGCTTTGGATGATCGAATATTGTTTGTGAGTGATGACAGCTGCTTCTCTGTTTCTGCTAGAGATTTTCCAGGGTTCTTGGGGAACAGCATTTATTTCTCAGATAGTTTTCGTGTGGAGCATTATAGGTACAATGCGTTAGGAAGACCCTTTAACCAGATTGGAGAGTGCAACTTCGATTCTGATGATCCAAGTTCTCTTAAAATCTTTTACCTTCCCTCCCCCAACTTGGACTTGGATGGGGATTATGAGCTGGACGGCCAGGATGAGTCGGATGGCGATTATGAGTCAGATGGAGATTATGGCAAAAGGGTAGTTGAGGAATTGTGTGGTAAAAATGCATTTACCAATTGCTTAATGTAACATACAAATCCTCAACAATATTTGTTACCAAAATCGTAACCAATTAAAATATTGTTTTGACTAACCATAATGCCACCAAAACAACTATTTATTGTACGCATTAATTCTGTTTTTTTTTCCTTCCCATAACTATAATACCAAAACAAGTAGGACTCTATCTATCAACCCCTATAATCCGGGACCAAACTTTCCAATTCTCTTGAGATTCTTATTCAAATATGAAAGCTGATGTTCTGCCCAAGACCTTCCTTCCCTGTGTATTTAGTTTTGACTTTAGTCTCAAATGAGCTTCAATCACCAAGAAAATCATCCTGGATGGCGAGTAGAATCCCAGGTGAACTGATAGAGAGCATCGGAAAGTGCCTAAACACCAGAACAGATGTTTCTCGATTTCGTGCGGTGTGCAAGTCATTGCGGTCCTCCATCCCTCGCTTCGAAAAGCAGCTTCAATTTCCCATCAAAGTTCTCATTCGAGACACCAATGGCAGCAACACCACCTTTACCCTAACCGAGAGCATTGTCTTTCATCTTGCGCCTCCTAGAGATGATCCTCATAAAAGAGGTTGGTTGGTTAAGGTTGAAGAAGGAAAATATGGTGAAACTCGTATGTTGCATCCACTCTCCCAGTTTGTTGTAGGGAGACTGCCCCACTCATTCCCAAAGGTATTTAACCTATTGGAATTTAGGGTTTTTGAATATGCAAGAGTTTACAGCATACATGACGGGGGTTGGTGGGACCGTAATAATAAGGTGGCCTTGTCCATGAATCTCGGTTTCCCTGCTGTCATGATAATTGTCGATGGAGTATTATACCACGGCAAATTAGATGTCGACGTTAACAACTGCATTGAGATCTCTCAGTTGGATCATGATCAACATTATGATTACGAAGATGTTATTTTTTACGAAGGGAAGTTCTATGCTGTCTGCCAGGACGGACAAGCTGTAGTGGTTGATTCTTGTCTGAATGTGAAAGTAGTTGCGCCGCCAATAT